ACAAATAAGGAATCCTACTTCGCGGAATTTCATTTATCACGGTAGGGTCTAGAACCGATTAACCGCGATAAACGAGGGTTCACTGTATATGAATTCGTTTAGTTTATAAACCAAAAGGAAGACCTCAGAGCTCTGGGTCAATGGCGTGAGATTTCCCAAGGAAATTCTCATAGGACAGCCTTTGCTACCCTCTAAGAATGAACAGGTTCATCACTGCTATGGGAACATAATTCCTTGGCATCACTGCTATGGGAACATAATTCCTTGGCACTATTTTCCTGTACTTTTTCCTCACAAATACAGTTTTCCATTTTCTTCAACCTTTTTCATAATAAGCTCCCTTGATCGTCATATATCTTTTGAGAAAATCTATCAAGATATTATCCCTTTGAATCCCAAGACTTTCTGAGCTGAGCTCTCCGTCTTGGCTTGAACTGACTTAGCCGATGTCCCCAGAGGCCACTGCTTGGACTGGACCTTCCTGTGAAGGCACTCTACGCAGACTCAGACAGGTGTGTCGCTGACAGAACCTGTCGGCGCCATCTGCTGGTCAGAGACAAATGTAAGCATGGAATCAGCCTGTGGACATGAGCCAGAACCCGGCCAGCAACATTTCCACTTATCCGTGTATTCATTTCATTTTATCATGATATTGATGTATTGTATTTTGACAGTTTTTCATTGCTTTTTAAAATCTGCATGGGTATTATATTAAGCTAATAAATACATGTACTAAAAGTCTTTGAAACTAGAATTCAAAACTAAAATTTTTTTAAATGATACTAGTAAAATATATAAAAGGCACCATTAAGAAAATTAAAACATTCAATAGACTGGGATAAAATGTTTTAAAAACATATATCTAATTAAGTATGTGTGTCTGGAATATACAAAGAATTCTTTCTTCTCAAAATTAAGAACAACCCAATCACTAAGCTGTCAAATGATTTGAATAGATTTTACAAAAGATAACATAAGAATAGCTAATAAGCACATGAAAAGATGCTCAACGTGTATCGTTAGTGATTAGAAAATTGAAAATTAAAACCACAGTGAGATAATGCTTCACACACACCTTGGGTTAGCCAGGATAAAAAGAGACAAAACAGTTGTACATGAGGCTGTGGAAAAATGGAACCACATGAAATGGGGCAATCAGTTTAGAAAAGTTTGCTAGTTTTATTTCAAAAGTAAACAAAGTTTTTTACAAGACCCAGAATTCCACTCTTAGTAGATATTTATCCAAGAGAAATGAAAATACATATTCACATAAAGACTTAGGCACAAATGTTTTTAGCTTTGTTGTCTGAAATATTGCGTACAACTTAATGGATGTAGCCCCAGATTGAAAATCTGCATTTCGATCAACTGGTCAATGTGCTATATGCATATAAATGGAAAGCAAATTGTCAATTAGAAGAAAAATTCATATCATATACTACAATATGAATGAACACTTAGACACACTATGGTAATCAAAAGAATGCAGACACAGGAGAACATACATTGCATGATTCCATCATCTGAAATAGCAGACAAGGCAAATCTGTAGAAGCGGGGTAGAGTCTAGTTGCTTAGCGTGGGAAGTGTGGCCAGAGAGGAGGTGGAAGGCGGGGGGATTAACAGTAATTGGAAGTGCAAGACCTTACTGGGGTGATAAAATTTTAAAACTATTTTACAGGGATAGTTGCACAAGTAGGTAAATTTACAAACAAACAAACAAAAGCATTAAACACTCCAGAAGAGAGAATACAAAGGCATATAAAATATGCCTCAGTAAAGTTAGCACATTATAACCAAATAACCAGTTTGCATCAAGTCAACTCCAATTCATAGAGGCCCTATGTCTGCGAAAACTGTGCTAGTTTCCAATGGCTGACTTTTCAGAAGTAGATTACTAGGCCTTTCTTTGAAGGAGCATTTGGTGGGATTCAAGCGTGCCTCCTTTTGGTTAGCAGTTGAGTATGTTAGCCATTTGTACCCAACACCTCCCTCCAAGGACCTCCCATTGAACTGTGTTGTTGTTAAGTGCCTTTGAGTCCGTTCCAACTCATGCAGACCCCGTGCACAACAGAGCACAACACTGCCTGCTCCTGTGCCATCCTCACAGATGGCTTTGTTTGAGTCCAGGGTGGTAGCCACGGTACCAAGTCATCTCTTTGAGGATTGTCTACATTTTCATTGACCTTCTACCAAGTACAATAGCTTTTTCTAGGGACTGGTCCCTCCAGGTCACATGTCCAAAGTGCATGGCATGAAGGCTCACCATGCTTGCTCCTAAGGAGCATCCTGGTGTCACTTCTTCCACGGCAGGTTGGTTGTTCTTCTGGCAGTCCATAATACCTTTGATAGTCTTCATATCATGTATACATATTAAAAATAATTTACATATTGGTGCAGCAGAACCATGAAGAATAAAGGAGAATTTTATATAATACATCAAAGCTTATCTTGTCTTAGTTTACTACATTTCATTGCTATACTTTATTAATTGTTGGAGAAGCCATTTAAAGCACTAGGTGTCCACCTTTTGTTTTTCTGGTTCCCCTCCCTACTTGTAGATGAACATTTCATTTTTTGTGTGTTTCAATGGACTCCTCTGAAAAATATAGTTCTAAGATGTTTGGATTAAGTAAGTGTATAATGAAAACAATACATGGCTGTCATATCAACCTAGTAAGTGTTCTAAATATGGAGTTTTCTAACTGTAGAAAATATTCTTTCTAAACCTCAAAGTAAGATAGTGAAATAATGTGCATTATGGGCATTATTTTATAACAGATAAAAATCCAGTTTTAATTAAAAATACTTAAGTTGCCTAAAACATATAATTTACACATTGTAATTGTTATGGCTTAATAAATCTAATATTACATTTGATTAAAATTTGGTGACTTTGAAAGCTTTCATTGATAAGAGAAAAAGTAGTACCTCAATGGGGGGGAGGAAATGTATTTTAAAACTTTCATTCTGGAAGATATCAGGATGGACATAGTAAAGGTGAAACTGAATGGAAAGCACTGACATTAACTTGTGACCTTTAAGAAAAGTAAAGTTGGTCACTCAAAGGCTCTGGATAGGGTTTTGTCACTCTTTCCTACCATCTGAGAAGAACTGTTGGTAGGACTGGCACAGCAGCAGAACAAAAGGAAAATAATTATGATCCAAAGAAAAGACTTGAAGCGTATGTGAAATCCTGCTTTGTCTCAAGAAGAAAAGGTTGAAAAAACTCACTTTATGTCTGGGAAGTTCCATAAAAGTATAAAAATCACCACAGTGTTGATTTTCAGAGGAACTCAGATGAGTCTACTTACGATAGGGACATTTTCTGACTGAATGAAGAAAGCTATGCCAATAAAATAGTTAACATCAATCTGCTTTTGCAAGCTAAATGTATGACTATTTCTTTGTTTCTTGTTTTGGGTCACACACACACAGCACTACGGGAAACTAGAGAGGTAGACTCATGGTGCATAAGTTCCAAGTACTTTGGGGAGGTACAGTCAAGAGGGCAAAGACTTTTGGTGACCGAGGGAGGAAGTCAGAGACTCGTGTCCTAGCACTAAGTGTCACCTTCAAAAACAGAGGCAGGAGTAAACAAGCCAAATCCCCAGAGGATTTGGGTATATATAGGTAGGCAAGAGACATAAAAGGTAGATGATAATAAATGTTTGTAGCAAAAACTAAGTTTCATTGCACGAGGGATGTCTACTGGGTTAAGGCATCATGCCTAACCAGACAGTTATAATTTTGTTCACTTTCGTATATGTGCAGGGCTAGGGAGGGGGGGTTTCCTTGCCTGGTCAGTTTAGCTTAAGAGTATTTCTAGGTGGGATAGATGGTTTTCTTCTTATTGAAATGACTATTAGTCTGACTAGCCTGTGCTATAGACCACTATTCTGCCTCATTTCTACACAGGCTGCTTACCTAGAGGATAGCTGATTAAAAATAATATTTAAGTACCCAAAGAACATCTCAACACATGGTCCTTATACCTGCTATCCCATTTCTGTTTCAGCGTGGACAGTGTTGGATGGTGCAGCCTTGCTACATGGTGTGAGAAATGGCTGTAGGAAACAACACTCAACGAAGCTATTCCATCATCCCGTGTTTTATATTTGTTGAGGTATGTGTCTTTTGTAGCATTTACAAATGAATCAGAACAATAGTTTTCATACTGAGAACTCGGTCGCTTTGTACAAGTGTTTAATCTTATGGCAGATTGAGAATTAAACTTTGATAATGCACATTGATAAAGAATTAATGAATTATCAAAAGTGTCTCCTAACTGGGAAGCCCTGGGTTGGTAGAGTCATAAACTTTCTCTGGGAGCACAAAACAATGACGAGTTTTATTAACTTTCTCTTATTTTTAGTGGTGATTCAAATTATTAACCATGAAAGAGAGTACAGTATTTTCATTAAATCATGTCCTAAAAATCAATATCATGTTCCAGGAATTCAATAAGCTAGACTGTTAACTGATGGCGTTAGTTCATGGACTTTGCCTTGGAGCATAAATAAAAGGGAAAAGAAAAACCTTCAGGGTTGACTATCTCTGCTGGGTGTTTGACTTTAGTGAGGTACTGAGAGTTTGCATAATAGGCAATTTCTTTTGCACATGAATTATTTTTCTGAGCTGCTCCAATTTGTACCAGCAAACTGTCTCCAACATCTTTTAAACCAAATGTTCTATGTCTTTTTGATAATACTTGTTAGAAAGGAAACAAAAAGAAGCCCGGGTCATGGCCCTGTTGGGCAAGCATTGAACTGACAATCATGAGGTCCTGGGTTCAAACCCACAGCTGCTTCTTGGAGAAAGAGGAGGCTTTCTGTGCCGATAATGATTTATAGTAACTGTGTAGAGAGGGTTTGATATTGATTTGGGAAAGGTAATATTGTTTCTGCCTTCTTAAGTAACTAAAAGAGCTCATCATCCATTTTTCATCGCAAATGCCAGGTTTAAATTGTTACGAAGCCTAGAGGAAAAGTCGGTGTCTGAGCGCCCTGTCTGGGAACTGCCTGGGTAACACCATGGCCCCTGGCCAGGTAGAGCCTGTTCACAGCTTGCGGGTTCTCTGTGACTGAGGAAGGGGCAAGGGTGGTGCCACCGTCCCTGTGAAAGGGACACTTGAATTAAACCACCTCGTAGAGTAGCACAAGTGGACTTTAAGCACCTGTGTTACTTAGACATAGCTTATGAATGAATGAGAAGGTATTGTTACTTTATTTACCTTGAAATTACTTTTGCTATCCATATAATCAGTTGAGTAATTTTGAATAGTTTCCTTTTTGGTTAATATATGCTTGGTTGAATCCTGGAGTTTCATCTTATAGATATCTCCCGATAGTTTATCAGTGGTCCTCAAACTACGGCCCACGGGCCACATGCGGCCCGCCGAGGACATTTATCTGGCCCGCCGGGTGCTTTTGTCCCTTTTATTTTTTTACTTCAAAATAAGATATGTGCAGTGTGCAGGAATTTGTTCATAGTTTTTTTTTTAACTATAGTCCGGCCCTCCAATGGGTCTGAGGGACAGTGAACTGGCCCGCTGTTTAAAACATTTGAGGACCCCTGGTTTAGATGAACAAATATCACTCAATCTTCTGGTGATATTTGTGGATCTGTTTATATTTCACAGCATCAGCAAGAGATCAGAGAGCAGTTGGGATGTTGTTGTTGGGTGCCTTCAAGACAATTCTGATCCATAGCAACACTGTGCACAACAGAACAAAACACCGTGGGGCCCTGTTCCAGCCTCACAATGGTTCTCATGCGGAAGCCCAAGGATACATCTCCTTGAGGGCTTGCCTCCCTTTCACTGCCCCTCTCGTTTACCCAGCATGACGTCCCTCTCCAAGGACTGGTCTCTCCTGACAACATGTCCAAAGTATGTAAGATAAAGACTTGCCCTCCTTGCCTCTAAGGAGCACTCTGGCCTTACTTCTTCCAGCACAGAGTGATTTGCCCTTTGAGCAGTCCATGATACTTTCAGTATTCTTGTCCAGCTTCACAATTCAAACACATTGATTCTTCTTCAGTCTTTCTTATTCAGTGTACAACTTTTACATGCATGACCCCATTGAAAATACCATGGCGTGGGTCAGACACACCTTAATCATCACAGTAATATCCTTGCCTTTCAATATGCTAAGGAGGTCTTGTACAGCAGACTATCTAATGCAATGCATTTTTTCATCCCTTGACTAATGTTTCCTTGAGCAGTGATGGTGGGTCTGAGCAAAACAAAATCCTTGACAACTTCAACCTTATCTGCATTTATCATGATGTTACTATGGTCCAGGTGTGAGGATTTTGGTCTTCATTACATGTAGTCATAATCCGTACTGAAGGCTGCAGTCCTTGATCTTCATCAGCAAGTGCTTCAAGTCCGCCTCACTGTCAGCAAGCAAGGTTGTGTCATCTGCACATCAAAGGTGGCTAACAAGCCTTCCTCCAGTCCTGATGCCACATTTTTCTTCGTATAATCCAGCTTCTCGGATGATGAGCTCAGCGCACAGATTGAATTAGAATGGTGAGAGCTTACCACCCTGACGCACACCTATCCTGATTCTAAACCAGGCAGCCTTCCCTTGTTCCACTTGCACAGCTGCCTCTAGGTCCATGGACAAGGTCTTCATGTGAAGTGTTCTGGAGCCCTCATCCTCCTCACGGTTCTGCATGGTTTCTTTCGATATGGGGAGAAGAGTGTTAATATAAATCAGGGTACACAGAGACACATGCTAAGCTGCATCTCTGATACGGTCAACCGCTGCTTCTCAACCTTCCTAATGCCGCGACCCTTTAATACAGTTCCTTATGTTGTGCTGTCCCCCCATCAACCATAACATTTTTCTCCTTGCTACTTCATCACTGTAATTTTGCTACTGTTATGAATCAGGTGACCCCTGTGAAAGGTTCATTCAGCCTCCAAAGGGGTTGCGACCCACAGGTTGAGAACCGCTGCCAGGTAAACAAAAAACTCCTTGCCCAACAGTAACACATCTTTATTTTATTTTATTTTTTAAAGTTCATTTTAATGGGGCCTCTTACATCTCTTATAACAATCCAGACATCATTTGTATCAAGCATATTTGTACATATGTTGCCATCATTACTTTCTAAACATTTACTTTCTTTTTGAGCCCTTGATATCAGCTCCTCTTTTTACCCTCCCTCTCCTCCCATACTCGTGACCCCTTGATGAATTATAAATTATTATTATTTTCATATCTTACACCAGCTGCTGTCTCCCTTCCCCCACGGTATCTTGCCCCCTCCCCTTTCCCCACCTTCCCTCCCCCTTCCTGGGGTCGCTACTCCCATTTCTGTTCCCCAGGGGTTTATCTGACCTGGATTCCGTGTGTCCTGAGCTCTTATCTGTACCTGTGTACATGCTCCAGCCAATCCCACAGTGAAAGGCAGGGTCATAATGGTGGGGGGTGAGGAAGCCTCAAGGAGCCAGAGGAACATCTTGTGAATAAACACATCTTTCATTTGCTACACGAGGCAAAGGGTAACACCTACAGACAAGAACATCCACTCTTGGGGTATTCCGGACTGTCTGTTGGGCTGCCCACCACGAAGCCGACTGTGTGAGGCCACAAGTCGCTCCGGAGAATGGGGAGGCCGTTTGTTCCCACAGGGTCCGTTCTACTCTGTGAGAATCGATTGGAGGCAGCGAGTTTGGTGTTTTATTATATTGTGGGGTCTAGATACCATTGTTGCTCTGCAATTGTGATGTAGGAAAAGGAACGCTTTTTTCTGCTGCTCGGGGGTAGAGTCAAAGGGTACAGCACGACTTTTGTCACTGTTGAAACCCTTTCTGCCCTGTTATTATTTTTTTTAAGGAAGTGTTTAAAATAATCTGAAGGGAGACTGGGAAGGAAGTTATCCGCCATCATTTTTATCCTCCCAGAAACAATTTTATTCTAAATTTTCTTAAAAATCAAACAGGAACCAAGTCTCAAAGTAAGAGGCTTAATTTATTGCTGGAAGCCAGAGTCTCTGCAGATTTTCTGGCTCTAACGTGTGAACGATGCGCTTGACTGGTGGGGCAGGCACCAAGAGAGATAAATTAGTCCTTCCACAGCCATAACCCGACACTAACATCAAAAGAAGCCTCGAAATCTGGGAGAAGGAAGGCCGTTTATTTTTTTTCATCCTGTGCTATCACTCTTCCTTACACGGAAGTTTAGTCTTCTTAACTGCTAAGCAGTGACTTCCCAGGGTCAGAGAGGAGAAGGAACAAGACAATGTGAAGGATAGAGTAGACATTAGGGTGGGGTTGAATCCTATGGCCGTGCACATCATTTCCATGCACTGTTCACTCATCGAAGTCTTGAGGTGAGCCTACAATGTTCCAGGCACTATCGCAGACAGGAGGAGCTCTGGTGGTGCAGTGGTTACAAGTTGGGCTTCTAACCACATCGGCAGTTCGAAACCACCAGTCACTCCTAGAGAGAAAGACAGGCTTTCTACTCCCATAGGAGATAAAGTCACGGAAATTCACAGGAACAATTCTACCCTGTCCTATGGGGTGACTATGAGTCAGTATGACTGCGGCTGTTAGTTTCTGTTGTCTCTCTCTTCATCTTTTGTTTCTTCAAGGAGCCTCTGTGGCACTGTTGGGGATGGTTCGACTGCTAACCAGAAGGTCAGTGGTTCAAAACCACCAGCCACTCCACAGGAGAGAGATGAGGCTGCCTGCTCTTGTAAAGATCTAGAGCCTTGGAAACCCTGTCTAGGGTCACCATGCGTTGGAATCCACGCAATGGCAAGAGTAAGCTTTTTCTATCCTCCGTCTTTGCTTTCTTCCTTCTTTCCTCCTGTCCTTCTCTCCCTCTCTGTCCATAGTTATGAGACTCTCTGCCCCGTTTCTTGTCCTCTTCCACTCGCCTTCTCCTCCCCCTCTCTGTCTCTCTGCCATTGCAGCAACTCCTTTCATGGTTGAGGATCAACCCAAACCAGAATTTCCCTGAGGGGAAAACACACTTAAACTGACAATAAAGTAAACTCTTTGAGGTCTCCCTTGCTACCTCCACCACCCGCTGCCTCCATCCAATATCAGGTGTATTCTTCCAAAACTCTTAGAACTGAAATCTTCGTTGGACAGATTTTCCTAGA